TTTTATTTCTAAAGGGCTTATGCATTCGGCTCAAACTCAACTCGTCTGTGTGCTGCCAGTAATTAAAATGCCCCACCTCAGACTGCAAAAAAAAAAAAACAAAACAAAACAAAAAAACTTCTTTTTTTTTGATAACTTAGTGCATTTTATTGGTTTTCTTTCAGAGTCATTCTACAAAAGAGCAAAGTTAAAAATCAAGGCCCTGTCAAGAGATTTTGAACCTTCCTCATGCTAGGAGTCTTCCCCACCATGTCCCCAGCTGTGTCACTGCTGCAGTTCATGGGGCTGGAGGGCTTGCTATTTTTGCCCACACCAAACCCAAAAAGGGAATGATCTACCACCTAGAAACGCCTTCCCCTCACCCCAATCTCCCTCAAGTTGATCCTGGTTACAGAAGGCCATGGCAAGAACTGTTGGGGTCCTGCAGGAGTTCTGAACCCCAGAAGGTCACGGCCAGGGCAGTGTTCGTGAAGAACGCATTGTACTGTGGCTCAGCACCCCTTAGGAACGATGCTGGGCCTGGCACCTCACTCCCAGAGGCCAGTTGCACTCTCTTAGGCCAGGGAGAACTGGAGGTCAGGGCCTTAGCTGGGAGCTGGTGCAGGTAGATACACTCAGATTTGAAGGGGCAGTGGCCATTCCCTCGCACGAAGAACCGGCATCGTATCTGGCTGGTCAGAGCCTTGAAGTTCCTGATGAGTTGCTCCTTCTGAGCCCCCTTGCTCACCCAGAACTTGTGGGGGTTGATGTAGCTGGAATGGACACAGCACTGGGGACAGGCCTTGATGACATCCAGTGGGAAATCCTGCCGGTTCTTCTGCCAGGTGTGCAGGCAGCCCAGGCAGTGGGCGTGGCTACAGTTGGGCAGGATGCTGAAGACCTGCTGGGCCTCTGGCTTGTCCCACACTTTGTCCATGTAGATGCCACACACCACATTCTGACTGTCCTCAAGGTCCAGGCTCTGAAGTGGCGCCGTGAGCCCTTGTACAAGGTGGAACTTCGGCAGAGACTCCTGGGAGTGGCCATGATCCCTGTCAGCAGATGACGAAGGCAGGGACTTCCAGGAGCTGCCACCAACATCCTCATCCTTGCTGGCCAGTCCCTCCAGGCCAGGCTCTGCACTCCAGTAGGACCTGGCCCAGCCCCAGCCCACAGCCACAGAGGGCAAGTAGGTGGGCTCGGATCCTCTGAGGGCAAGTCCTAAGTGGGGGTCTGGCAGAGTGACATGTGGCTCCGAATGGCGGCGATCCCATTCCAGGGGGTCGGCGAGCTTTGGGTACTGACAGCTGCATCCATCTCCACGATGTCCCAAGTGGCTCCAGTAAATGAAAATGTTACGGAAGAAGATCTAAAAACCATGATTGAAAGACACTTAACAGCTAAAACTCCAACCAAGAGAGTTAGAATTGGGAAAACTCTGCCATCAGAAAAAGCTGTGGTGACAGAACCAGCAAAAGGCGAAGAGGCCTTCCAGATGAGTGACATTGATGAGGAATCTGAATTAAAGTATTCAGAACCAGAGCGAAAACGCAAGACTGAAGACTTCTTTAGGCAAATCGGTGGCATCTGATGTCCCTGAAGCATTAGACTTTCTTGTACCTAAGGCTGGATTCTTCTGCCCAATTTGTTCCGTCTTCTACTCAGGTGAAAAAGCAATGACAAATCACTGCAAGAGTACACGTCATAAGCAAAATACTGAGAAATTCATGGCCAAGCAAAGAAAGGAAAAGGAACAGAATGAGGCTGAAGAAAGAAGCTCTAGGTGATTGGGGGAAAGGGGAAAGAATTCGCTAGAAATTTGTTTAGGGTCCAGTTGATTTGTGTATTTTTGTTATCATTTAATTTGTAATTTTCGTTT